AGTTGCTAAACTTCTGTGACTTCACGCATCGTAGTTAAGCAATTAGGCTAGCGACGACGGCTGATGGGGACATTTATATGCGCAGTTAAAGAATTATTATTGAACACATTTTCTTCGCGAGGAATACTCGTGACTCCCGCTTTTAAACGGCATCGACTCACAACGCATCCCCCACCTTACAAAGAAACATGCGAGACCACATAGACATCTTGTGTTACGTGTAGAGGGAGCTACTTCCGTATTTGTATACATAAATCAGAGAACCGAATTCTGAGCCGAAGCACTGTATACTGCGAAACAACCGCGATCTGCTAGCCGCTGGGCGCCCGCTCCGCCCGGGCATGAATACACAATCCCGCCCCTTCATTCCCTCCAGCCTTGCATCACTCCCATCCGCGTGGTCGGCTGTGCACCTTCCTACTTTGCGAGGATGACTCGCGCGGTAGGAGGTTCGCTTCTCTCCGCCGCCGGGGGCGCTGGAGGCGGAGGGAAAGGCGCGGGGAGGCGCGCTCGCAAATAAACAGCGGATTGGCTGTCGGGTGGCTTACTCCACAGGCGAGTGTGTCCGGTTACAAGCGTCGAGCAAATGCTGCAAACAAGGTTCCTCGCGCCGAATGGGCGGCTGAAGAATGCATGCGGCTCGCGACGCCGATTCCTTCACAGAAGATTCGTTCTCGGCGGCGGCGGAGGAGACCACGATTGCTCGGCGTGCGGTGTGGCGTCGCGCACACCATTCGAGTTTTAAACCCTTCACACATTCTCGCTTTCAATTCCGAAATCCAGCACAATGTAATTCCTTCTCGCAAAACATAGCATCTCGTTGCGCAAAACACACATCACTCGCCAGCGACGAATGCAACGAAGATTTCGAAAGTGCAGGCTCAATTTCAACACTGACACTATCTTCTTTACTTTTCGCTTCAACTAAAATCGTGGAATCATTTCTCAACAATACCCCGTGAATCACTCAGACCCCAATATATAGGCACCAACAACTCTTACCGGCCCTCCGTATTAACAAAGTACACCAAAGCAGATCGCGAGATTCTCATTTCCGGTCGAGAGAGAAAGATCGTGAAATAGAGGGACACTAATCATCAGCTTTCCTTCATACGGACGTAACAAATCCCATGAAAAGTGATTCCATATGTAGCTCACTGGCGTCTCGGTTATTTAAATGCGAAGAATATCAATTTATTTCTGGTGACGTCTCTTATTTACCCACTTTTACCGCAGTCTTGATGGGAAAGACTCATTGGGTACCTTGTTACCCACATTTAAAACTCTCTATTGAGTCACAAGTGTCCGATTCGAGAAATCTACGCACGATTCCCGAAAAGAGAAGCAGACGATGCGGGCCGGCAGTAGTAGACGGATGTCACGGACATTTCGAAAGTACATGCTAAGTTCAAGTTTGACACTACCTTCTTTAACTCCGCCGCCGCGGCTTCGCCCGTGGAAACGTCATTGGTGCCTTCGAGGCTCCACCCTCGCCCCGCCCCCGCTACCATCGTGCCGCAGGCAGCAGGTTTCCACGAAGAGGCCCCTTCGATCGAGCGAATCGCCGCAATATCAAAAGCGGCGTCGCGGCGCCACGGCAGAGCTACCACTCACCCAACCGCCCGCCCGCCAGCCTCGCCGATCACTTGTGGCCCCCCCGGCGAAGTGCGAACTTCTATTCAGTGTTGCGATGTTCGAAGGAGGAGCGCATTCGTCTACCTGCCGCTTACTCGGCTCCTGTTGGCAAGTTCTTCGTGATACCCCAAACGACGCATGGACCAATAGGAAGTTACAAACTGTTACAATTGTAACAACCAACCATTTCTCACACTCAGTTTAAGTAAAATATTTGAATTGTATAAAGCTAGTAGTGAATGTATTTGTTTACAGGGAATGTATCCCTTTAAATTTATTCTATTAATATTACATTTCAGTTCTATCTACACAACACACACACACACACACACACCACACCACACACACACACACACACACACAATAAATATATAAATTATATATATATATAATATATATATATATATATGAAACGAGACGTTTCTGTATTATAACAGTTAAAATTATCACTGATTATAAATTAAAATAAAAGTACTGGAGTTGTCAGCGCAGTAACCCGCTGCCGCCCGCCGCCGCCACCAACCGGTGAATCGGGGGGGGGGGTAAACGGCGAAGACAGCGACGATTAGAGTAGTGCGCGTGAAGGCCCGAGGTGAAGCACGGACGGGCAGTGCTGCGTCCAAGAGATTAATTTGCTCGTTGTTAAGGCAGTTCGGACTGAGTGTGGCCAACTGAGGTGAACCAGGTTGATAAGGATTAAACAATCAGATGATTAGTGAAAGTGTTTGCGCACCAGAACTGATAAAACCAATAAGACAGGAAACCTGTAGTCGGTGACTCGTGTCATTATTCCCGCGCTGGCTATAAATAACAGTGGGCAATACTGTACGACATTCGCCGGCCCGAAGGTAAGAAAGGTGCCTGCATAGAACAGAACAGCCGACGGGGAAATCCGAATCATGCGTCGTGCGTTCCAGTACTCGTGAGACGTTATTCACGCCGGCTGGGGTGACCCGGCGAAATTTATCCGGCCGTTACTTTGGGCCAGAGGAGTGCGTCGACGAAGGAGGGCGGGAATTCCCGCGGACTTCGGGCGCGAAACGAAGTTGCCGAAAGACACCGCCCGCGTTGCCACGACGGCCCCGGGCGCCTCTAGAGGAAGAGGGTGTTTGTAAAACATCAAGGTAGCGTGATCGTGCGCTTGTTTCCAGACGCACTGCTCATTGCAATTTGTAAATATTAATTTGTAAAAGTTGTGTTTTCTGATCATTAAAATATTTAAATGTCAAAAGAATTTATAACGATATCTTTCGCATGCTGCGCCAAATCCTGGAGACCATTTCACGGAAAATTGTAAACCTTCCCTTGCATAATTTTATTTGTCGTGAAAGTACCGCTCCCAGGTAGTCACTATAGATATATATATAAATTTTTTAACTATTAGCAATTTCACACACGCAAGAACAATGTAATGAAATATAAGCGTAGGTGTATTATTGGTCTTGAATTTTCAAATAACTGCATCTTAAGTGAACGAAAATAACAAGCTTAGTGAGAATTTCACTTCTTCATGCCTGTGTAGTCATCTAGAGCTACAAACTATTCGAACACATGCATCTTAAATGGGCGGGGCTGTATCTCTAAAACCAAGCACAAAGAGCGCGTTTCGTGACGCGCAGATTGCGCCAACAACACGCAACTATACTCGCAAGAAAATAAACCCACCTCAAACGCGACATCAAAAAATTATTATCCACGAGAAACACTTAAACGCGTACGTTGCAGGATAACACACGTCCCGACTCCGTACATAATGGAATTTGATAATCCCAGACCACAAACTCGTTTGGCCCCTCTGTCACTCCCGCGACACTGGCCTCGCGGACTGCCCGTAGATTTCATGGCTAATTATATAGAAAACGTGAAGATATATACTGTAATCACATTCTCGACAAAGCAAACAAAAAGTGAAATGCGCTGCAGCTAGTCATAAACTGGTTTCCTGGGCAGCTCGCTCCACAGCTACGAAGAGTGCGACAGCGGTACCGCTAGCCTCTTCGCTCCATGGACCGCATTGCTCGAAATGCGAATCCGCGATCAAGACAGGTAGCAAAGAATGGTAGGTATCCCGTCTCACATGAGGATACCACGAAGTCAACAAATGCAATTTCTTCAATATGAGATGGTCGTGCTTTATCGATTATTGTTATCGACATTTAATTTCTACCTGAGATTCTAGAGTGCATTTCAAATTAAAAATGGACTTCGTAGAGTAAACAGCAAAAGATTACATGCGAATTACAATCCATTTTTACTAGTATTCTACGTTTTTTTTTTGTTTGTTTGTTATTTAAGCTCGCATCTACTACTTGGACATTAGCGACCACTATTGCGTTTAACGGTATGCTAGCTATGAGTATGACACGATATGATGATGACAGGGGGTGAAAGGACGAACACAATACAACCATACCCGACCCGATCGAACCCGAAATCCTTCGGTCCGAGATCGCTTCGGCACTACTGCCTTCCGTACCAACACCGTCTATTTGTTCATCGAAACATAAGTGTAACAGCATTGCAGACCACAATCTAATACCATTTCGAGTGTATGTTCTTCAGACATTCAATAGGAAACGAGAAATAAAAACAGTTAATGGTAAACATATGATCAAACAACAGACCGATCGATACAACTTTTCGGTTTTTTATCAATCGAAAATCGGTTCGAATATGTTCAGTTTTAAATAATCGAACAGCTCAAGGGATCAGAAATTACATCTCTTAGATCAATATTTCCGTTCAAATCTTAGCTGTCCGGATGACGCCGCGTCGAAGGCTGTGGTGCCGACATTTCGGCCATCTTCTCGTGGTCTTCCTCAGGGCTAGACTGCACCCAATTTTTCAATTCACCTAACCTAATTAATAGCCATGAGTGAATACTCAGACATAAACACATAAAAATGAATTCATATCAGCAATGACTATAAGATTATAATGTCCATGGCATCATGTCTTTAGGTACATTCAAACAGAAATATAGGAGTAAATGTTGGTGTAACGATATTTTCCACACTTCAGACTAAATAATTCAGAGTTTTAATGCAATGTATATTCTTTAATATTATTCAATTGATGCTTTCAGTAAAAATATCACATGATAAGAATGCACACTCGCATTTACACTGGGAAAACATCACTACAGAAAATGAGATAAATGCAATAATATTCGAGATTCATATTTAAAGCACAGTCTATTTTACAACTTTCATCCAAATGAACCCTTTCTCTGAAGGAAGATAAAGCAAGAAATGAAAAACGACGCGTCTTGAAATCAGTACTCAGAATAGATGAAAAGTGGGGAATCTACATTATCTGAATTCCGAAAATCACTTGATGCCAAATCCATAGATGCGAAAGTATGACTATTTTAGGGTTACCTCAGAAGTATAGAGGGAACACACATCCGTCCAGAGATGAAAGAAATCGATGTAGTGCGGCGGATTTACCTGAAACAAAAGCAAAGCATTTGAAAAATTATTAAAACCAATCACCAGTACCACAGTACCGACGATACTCTTTAAATGTGTGCGATACGAAAAACTAAACTGTGTAAAAAAACTGGACACCACCAACACATATCACTAAATAACATTTCTAGTTTTCTAATTAATAAGTAAACATAGGATTGTGAAAAATAAGGGGAAGCGATGCAAGAAACTATATAATTCGCTACGAAGTTTGACATGCTCACGGAGTTTTCTCTGTAAAAAACAAAACAGTAGTTACAGCGCGCATTCTAGGCTAAATGTAGCTTCGTCTGTGTAATTAGTGGCTCGACAAATCTCCGTTATTTCCGCACGCAGCACACGCGTGATCAGCTACAAATGGCTTCTTCCTTCTTCACACGATTATAGAACAAAAGGTTCGCGGCAGAACGGATGCGAAGATAGAGAGATCCGATAGAATTAAATGTTTTCATTAATCATAAATGCGGTTTTAGACATTGTCCATCTACTGGCCAAAATGAAAGTTTTGAAATGTTTTACAAAAATGTAGGTAAAGAGTATTGACATTTCAAGCTGCCCGAGATTCTTCACACCACATCTGAACCCCTAATAAGAAACGTGGGACGGGGAGGGTTAGCCGAACAAGCGACACACTTCTTCAATTAAGTACATTCCATTAAGCACTATGCCACCCGCTGATCACCGGTTTCAGTTCCATTGGTTGTATCTCCTATGGCTGAGTGAGTTCTCTCCAGTCAACTGCTGCTCCGACCGAAAAGGCCCTGCCGACCAACACCTGTGCACGACCGCGCGAGGCTAAATTTAGTAATTTACTTACAATGGCCAAATTAAGGCGCGCAAGGTAAAACGGTTGTAAAAATATAACTGGTATTGTTATAACATTTCTTGCTGTTTACCAAGCGACTCCTTTCCTTCTGACCGAAATTAAAGATGTTTCAGGTCAAAGTTACGGAAATGTTTAGAAAAGAAAGCGGAATGGCAAAGTACATGCTTAATTAGAGAATTACAGAGTATGAGATTCGTTCAAGCGGCAAACGAGGAAGTAGTAAATAATCCAGAGTGCATTGGCTTATGCAGTAGAGTAAGGATGCACCCACGTGCCGGTCCCCCTTAACTTGTATTTCGCATATATGATTACAGATCTGCTAGAATAATCAGGAAGAAGGGTAATTATAGGGCCGGAGGGACAGGGCTGGATTAACCAGTCGGCACGTTAGACACAGTGCCTCGGGCCTACGAACATGAGAAGCCAACGATAGGACCTCCTGATTCCTTTAAAATTTATTTCAGGACTTCAAATAATCACACATGAGTCATTCCACGTCAAATCGCACACTCACAAAACATCACTATTTTTTTTAGCGTCTTGAAACTTTTTTTTATGAATTCTATGATTGGAAAGAGGGGACACGTATTTTTCCGTTTTTTTTTATAATTTCACCCCCTTCAAAAATATTACCTATAGTTTTTTCCGAAAATTCATGTGCGCGCTAATGCTCAAATATTTTACGTTAATACTGTTTTCTTCAGAAAAATAAAATTACACTTAAATTTAACTTAAAAGGATGAACTTTCAGAAGACGCAAAACTATTTTTGTAAACATAGCATTTAAATATTTAAAATATATTTTACCTTTTAAAGTGAATTTTTTATAGTAGGACCATTTTAAATAAATTGTAAAAAATACTCATGTATTTCTAATGTATAAATCTACCGAATTTCAAAGCGGGACACACATAAATAACATTTAAAATAATAGTTTGTTTACCGGAGCACGTAGGCAGCCCGCTGCCCGCCGGACTCGTTGCTCGAACTACGGGGCGTCAATGACACGACTGTTATTTTTTCGAATTTTTAAACTGTGAAGTTTAAGGAGAAATTGCTAAAATGAACATACAATTTGTCAAAAAATTATTTTTAAAAAATTTAATGGATTCAATACATACATAAATGAAAGAGCATCTTTTTTCTTTAATGTCACAAAATATTAAATATCTGTCAGAATTAAAACACGAATGATTAACTTTAGCGGCGCGATATTTTAAAAAAAAATAATATAATCTCGAAAAATAATATTTGAGAATAAATGAAAAACATGTGTTTCATATTTTTGCTTATGCTCCTCACAGAAAAAAAGTTTCAAAATGTGGGACATCAAGCTATGTTTTCTTAAATTTATACGATTTGACGTGGACACACAAAATTGGTGTATATACAAAATTATCAATTTTTTAATGTAAAAAAATCAATAATTTACACATTTTAATATTGTATTACAAACGTAAGTTTGTAAAAGTGCGCGAAAAAATAAAAAATAAAAAAATGAGAAATCGTTCAATCATATAAGACGTAGTAAATGTCGAATGAACTATCGGCACTTCTCCACCTGTAAACAATCGTTTTTTTAAATTCCAAAATGTATAATAATCACTGTATAATATGGTTCTATATTTTTCTGGGGTCAACGAAAAATGTGGGTTTGGCTTAATCCGTCCCTGGGGAGCCACACTTTTTGCAAATAATATGGTGACTCCAGCTGGCGTCTTGATAGAAGATTCAAAGAACAGTTATAGAAGAAACAAGGAAAACGTATGGAATGATACTCGTATTAAATAAATAAAGAGTAAGGTAACGGAGATGAACAACAAAGATGAAGCAATGGTAAGAACAAAGGAGAAAAAGTACTTGAGACTTTGGCATGACCAGAACGAAAGGCAGGGCATGAACAAAAGAAGGGTTGCAGCGGCAAAACAAACTTTCAACGAGGAAAAGACAAGTGCTATGAAGCAAGAGCGATGATTTGAACGTGAACAGATTGGCCAAATGCTACGTGTGGAGTGGACTTGTTCATGGGAGTGAAGCACAAACGATGTGAAACAGGGAAACCAGAATTGAGGCTCTGGAAATGTGATTTCAACGAAGGATGAAACAATAAAGCAGCCGAAGTGAGGAACGGAGGTGTTCTGAACGGATCAGGAGAGGAAAAAAGATTATGTGCAAGTATGATACTCAAAAGAAAGGGGAACTGGCTTTGTCATATAATGAGATAAAGACACCAGTATTAGAGGGAACAGTGAGAACGCGGGACAGGTTATAACTAGAAGCAGTGAAGCTGCTTAAATACTCGTATAAGATAGCAAAGGAAATGACTTGAAACTAACAGTCCAGAACTACGAGTACGTGCCGACGATGATGATTTGAAACTGACTGTTGCAAAATGATCAGTTTGCGGTAAACTGCTCGGGACATTTATCAAGAAAAGCATACGCTCAAAGACTTTGGTCGAAAATTGATATTTTCCAGTCAATTCGGTACACGTACGTAGCAACGTTGACAACGAAGTTGTATCAAAACGTTTACATAACATATAATGCGTGTTCCATCTCCAAACCGATTAACCACACTGCACCCTGTTGTAATAAAACCTTCTCAAAGTTCACTTTTCAATTCTGGCAGTTATGCTCACAAAACAAACACAAGAAGCCCCTCTTAAGCGTTAGGTATAATGGTGTACAAGTAACACTACTGCTACCAAAACAATAACTGCGTCCAGAAATAAGACACCCAAAAAGACAAAAGACGCATGCTACCCAGAAAGAAGCCCGCACCAGGAAAAAGAGCGGGCGGACCGCTGCTCCGAAGCGGGGCCGACTCGATCGCTAGGCAAAACAAACGCGCGACCGGGCGCCGGGGGAGGGGTGGAGGGTGGGGAGCGTCCCAATCACGACCAAGGGGGGGGGGGGGGGCAGGGCCTCGCGAAGCGGGGCGGAGTAATTAACGAGAACAACGGAGGGGCCGCGCTTCGGCAGAAAAGAAATGAGACGAACTCAGGGGCGCTGGGGGTGGCGGCCCGCGCCGCGGCGGGAGGGCACTCGCCGCCCGCCGCTGTCGCCCCGCGGAAGGAAGGATACGTCAAGGGGCTGGCACTTCCCTAGCCCCTCCTTGGCTCAGTCATGCTTTCGACACCTGGCGGAGGCCCAACAGAATTAAATCGTGCCTTGGGCAGTTTTCGATGCCTGTCTGGCAGCTTCTACACGAGTAAAGAGAATATCTTGAACTAGTGGATTTGAAATCTGCAGCACATCATATTGGAAGTACCCCAGTGGGTTGGAGCATACGAAAGAAAGACAGAAGAAACAATATACAATTGTTGCAGGAACAAACGAAATTATGTCATTTTAAGCCGTTAAATTTCTATTTGAATAAAGAAGAATATTTTTATTTTATTTTTTGGAAACGGCTCATCTGTATTGATTTGGATAGTGCCTTCTACCAATGCTAAATTAGTATTTCAAATGCTTATGGAGAGTCACACCACAAACACACAAATAATGTGTTCGAAAACGAAGAAAAGGAATACTGATTAAAATTCAAGCAAATTATATGTCCCAGAGAACATATTATTGTATGTCGTGGTATTGAAATATCTTGTTTTTTGATAAGCCTTAATTCCTTGTAAACAATTTCATTACAGTGCATTCTGAAGAATCATTTAAAAGGATTCCAACTTGAAAGTTGAACTGACGGTTGCAGATACTTTCGTCCTACCCCTCAGCTTTTCGGTTTGTGTTAATATATTTGTATCCTTCATGCAACATTCCAACTTGACTGCGTTCGTATTTCTACACAAGGGGCATTCTCCATTCAACCTTAGTCAAAGCAGCTATCCCCAATGTTCCTGTAAATATCATCGTTCCCATTTTTCACATGCTACTTACATTTTCGATTTACGAGTGCAAGAAAATAAATCAAAAAGGTTTTTTCTGAGAATTTGACCTATAAATTACAGCCCAGCCTCACGTTCTGGAGTTCGCAGTTCACGGTACTTCATTAGACGACAGTGTGATGTAGGAATACCTCCCCGACGGTGGAGATAATTGATGCCGGAGAAGTCGTGCGGAACGGATGTGATCGAACGGAGCGCAGTAAGAGGACACATGTCTGCGTGGCTCTCACCATAAATGTTACCACAAAATGTAGCGTCTAAATCGAAGGAAACTCATACGAGAGGAACCCCGTCCGCCAGCTGTGGAATACCCTCGCACGTCAACTGAAAAATTGAACTTGCTCCTCTATTCACAGTATCCCTTTCGAATAGTTAATGGATTCTGCAGCAGCAAACACTTTCACATGGCAATTCAATTTTGTGTAGCAGATAACTATCGTAAAATTGATTTTAATACTTCCACCCTTTTACAGTACAATAACGATAATAATGTAGCCAGAAATCTTACCTTAACCAATTGTAACAAAGGGGTGGAGATTTCTTTTGTTTAACGAATAATAATAATAATAATAATAATAATAATAATAATAATAATAATAATAACCTTCAATACTACCCCTCTGTTTACAGAAAAAATAGTTCTTTATTTATTTATTTATTTATTTATTTATTTATTTATTTATTTTAATTTAATTTATTATTTATTTATTTAATTTATATTTATTTATTTATTTATTCAATTTATTTATTTATTTATTTATTTATTTATTTATTTGTGAGCCCAAAGACGTTTGTACGAAATGTCGGTGATGAAAACTTACGTAAGGGATTATTTACTCTTGTGAACATTGAACAATAGTAACTTTATGAAATTAAACATATTCACCCTTTAAACACAAACGTTTATAATCTGGCAGCTGCTTACATAATTGCTGCATCTTGGCTAACAAAAACCCACATACTATTGGTTTCACGGCAATAAAAAGAACAATAAACAAGAACACAAAAAATCTTTCTCAATCAGCTTCCCATTTATACTCTATTAAATGCACACATGCCCTTTCCTCATATACACATCACAATGTTACATTAATATGCTAGCTTTAAAAATTTAAATTTAAGGACAATATTTGGTCTTCTTACACGTCAGAATAATTATTGTCTATTGCTCACTTTCCTTTTCACTCCCCTGCCCGCTTGTATGTCGTTATCCGGTCGTCAGCAGCATTCGTCAATACATCGTCGGTCTTGCTGCATACCAGTTTGTTTCTTTTACTTCGTAATTATTCAATACTTCTTTCGAAAATTAATACTTACAGTTCTTCACAGTTAACTCCACACTTATGTCTGATTACTTATCTGATGTTTTACCTCTTCTCACAACCGACGTCTGAGCAATTGTCTTAGCCTTGACGTATTAGCACGTTCTCCAAGGTACCTCCTACCACTAGCAAAGTTTGCAAGCATCTCTCCCGGCGGTACACGCGCCTCGCTGCTCAATTGTTCTCCGATGCGCAGTATCGTTCGAAAACGAGACGACTCTTCTTCACGAGCTACGCATCCCGCTTCTCCGACTGGCCGATCGCCAATCGATACTTGATCAGTTTATTCTTTGATTACACTTGTTTAGGAGAACATATTAAAACTTTCTTAGTTTTATCGAATTTGGCAACCCAAAGCTACACCTGCACAAACAAAACATTTTCAAACCGGAGCTCGATAAATCAAATCGAAATAATATTTTGTCAAGAAAGTTTGTAACGAATTTGAGTGTCCCAGAAAATGTCAATTATCAGTAACGTTACTAAATTGTCACCCAAATTACCACAATAATGGAAATTTCTTCCAACTTCTTAAAATTAAATACTCGAATAGAAAACTGCAAAATCTTTTTTTTTCTGTTTATTTTTTGTCGCATCAACGACTAAGGTTATTAGCGTCAACCATTTTTAATTTACAGGTTTTTACAGACAGCTGTATGACTTCAATCTATGCATTACATTAAGCAAAAAGTATCAGAATGTATGGTCAAACATAATACAGTATCACATATTACTTATCTTACATTTCATTATACAGAACAATCAGGGCATGGTCATAACATCTTTTCGAGGGTTACACAACATTACATTAAAATAATATATCATATGCAAAATCTTGGAATTTTGAAGTCTGGACTTTCGATGAGCGACGTTTAATTCTAGGCTCCTTCATATTCCCCAAGACGGATTCCATCATTAGTGGACTCCACATTTCTGCATCCGGGCGCATCGATAGCCGATCCCGACGGCTGGGCGTCCCGCTAGCGGAGCGGCCTCCACCGTAGCTGCGCACCACCGTAGCTGCGCAGCGTTTCGAAACGGACGCAGCGGAGAAGTCGCCCAACGGGTTCCAGCGCGCGCCGGGAGGGGCCCGGTCGGGAGCCGATCCCCCGCCCCTGCACTCCTGCATGCCATTTCTGGCCCGGGCAACACCTTACCTTTGTGTGCATGATTCAGGCAATTTGCTGGTCCTCTCCACGAGACCAGAACAGAAGGTTTTTGCACTTTACGCCTAGCGATGTACTTTGCCACAAGTGCCACAGAAAAAATATTTATAAACAAATGCTACGTCACGTGTCTAACGAACAACGTAGCAACACACTGTTGCTCGAGCGGAATTTGGTGTCAGCTTACCAGCTGGTCCAATGAAAAATACAGAAGGTTTCAACAACATACTGCAGAATTTTAATTCCTGGCTTGCTTCTGCGCAGCGTATTTAAGAGAAGTGAATAAAAAGGTACACGTAGGACAAACATAAAATGTTTAATACTTACTTAAAAATAAGTTTTCTTTTGATTATTCTCATCCTCCTCCTAATTGAGTCAATTGTTCTGGTATTCAAATTCAGATCAATTACAATTGATAAAAAAATGGCACCTGCCCCTCATCACGTTGTATGGCAGATTGTACTGTTGTCAATTTTTGTGATTTTTCAATTTTCTGTAAAAACATTGCAGCCCTTTTTAAGAAAATGATGCTTAAGCGCTACTGTATATTTGAAACTTGAATCTCTTTCTCACAGAAAATATTTGTGTTATCGAAAAGCTTCATTTGAAGTCATTTTAAATAACTTAACTCACAAATACAACAGTGTTTACAAATTGCTGAAAATGTGCATATTAACGGGCGTAAGAGATCTTTCAAAAAAAAAAATTATATATGTGTAATTTTTGAAAAGCAAGAAAATGACAGAAAATGAACTTTACGTCTTATTAAAGAGTGAATTAGCACCATTTATTCGAACAGTATTAGGAAAAAAATTGAAGCCGTTTTTGAGAAAATGGCGTTTGCGCGTTTCTGAAAATACGAAATTTTGAGCTAGTTTTCACAGAACACGGTTCTATTTTCGAGAAACTTTACATGACATTATTTAAAATATATGTACACACAAAAATATGAACAAATCGCCCCTAGTATAAACATTACCTTTGGAAGTGATAGAGCTAAATACACTCTTATAAGATTACCTAAACTAGTAAGCCGTATCACTATTATTTTGTTTTTTCAGAAATTACAAAAATGTATTATATTTACTTCTCTCTCAATATTTATACTAGCGTCAATTTGTTCATATTTTTGTGTGTATGTGTACATGTGCTTTAAAGAATGTCCTACAAGGTTTCTCGAAAACAACCGTTCTGTAAAAACTAGCTCAAAATTTCGTATTTTCAGAATCGTTCAAACTTTTTTTTCTCGAAAACGACTTCAATATTTTTCCTCCATTTTTTTTAACAGACAGTGCTAATTGCACTCTTTAATATGACGTTAAGTTCATTTGGGGTATTTTCTTGTTTTTTAAAAAATTACACAACTGAAATATTTTTGAAAGATCTCATACGCTGGTAATATGCACATATCCACCTATTTGTAAACACTATAGCATTTGTGAGTTAATGTGCTTCAAATTACTCCAAGAGAAGTTTTTGGAAAACTCAAAAATGTTCTTTGAAAAAGAGCTTCAAATTTCGAATTTACAGAAGTGCCTAAATGCCATTTTATTAAAAGCGGCTCCAAAGTTTTAAAAGAAAATTGCCATTTAGGATTAGGTTTTATTGTTATTTAAGATTCTTTAAATAATATTTCCGTTCTACAATTTCGAAACGGGAGAATTACGAAATTATTTTAAAAAATGTGCTTTGGGCAGCGATAGATGTCAGCTGGCTAAAGTATGTGGCAAATTCGAATAGCTATCTGAGACCAAAAGAAATAGAAAACTAATACGGGATCGTCTGTGCCATTCTGTAGCACAATTAGTTAAAGTTTTTGAGGTTATGTGAAAAATGTGATGTAATGAAGTTACATGGACAACAGATTCGTTTTCAGCAACCCCAAGAACATTTAGGTAACATGGTCTGACCTCAAGGTTAAAAATATCTTTCTTTTTTTAAATTTTTGAAGATATGTCAAAAACCTGATGCGATGATGTAAAATGGACACCGGAACGGATTTAGCGCTCCCCAAAACATATAGAAAACATGGTCTGATCCCCATACACGATGCGTTTATTTTCTTTAACGGCATGACGTTATTTTCGCAGGGTCTCTGTGGACCTCATCTCTACAAGAGGACGTGCGTTCTTGCTCTTTCATCGGCAACTGCCTTCTTCCGCTGGTGGACACGATGTTTACTACTTGGAAGTACCGAAATTCTGCGTTCACTTGCAGAATGACATAAGAAGCATTTTTCGCTACAGATGAGCAACTTTTATGAACAATGCTTATGCTTTACAATTATAATACGAATCCTAGACTAGCAGTGCGATACCTACTCACATTGACCGACTACAATTTTTCTGTTACCACAATTTTCTTGGGCTGTCACTAATTATGCCAGGCATAATTATATGAGTCGTCATTACCAACATTATTGTTTATTACAATAGCAGCTTTCGATGACTTAGTCATAATCGACTAATATAATTGTGGGTAATGACGAAAACGCACCACAATACCAATATTATTGGCAGCTAGTATTGGCAGCTACTGGCGCCTCAGAATTGTATTGTTGAACCTCTTTAAAAAACGAACTTACGGTCGAGTTTTCACTCACGGATCTTACCCTCCGGAGCTCCTGATCGCCCAGAGTTCTCCGGGCGTCGTTTCTTCGAACTACGCAACGACCAACTGGCGCCATGTTATTGGCGCCCTGTGATGAGAGGCAATCGTGCTGGAATGTCATCGATCCTGAAGTTTGGCGACATATTGGTAAACGACGGACACGATGTCCGGCGGCAGGTGATAGTTACGGTGGGGTAACAACCGCCAATCAAAATTTTAATGCATACGATGCCGGTTTTTTTCCAACACAATTTAGCTATGACAATATCCAACTAACGACTCATCAACTGCAACGCTTCTATTTTCCATCACCCTAGTTCATTGCTCACGTTTTCATACCAAAAATGAATACGTGCTGTCAAACTAACCACGTGGTTTGTTGTGGCGTTGGCGGTTGGCGCAGCAGGCGGAAAGGCAGGGGCTGCGAACTGGGGGCCTGGGCGATTCGTCGCGCTACTTTTTTCCTGCGGTTTTGCGACGGATCTTCTCAGCCTGTGAATTGGGGGGCGTTTTTCCCTCCGACGAATCACGGTTTCAGACGAACCTCGTGGGCGAAATAAATTACCTCTTCTGGCATCAATACACAGGGATGACAAGACATTGTCACACCGGTGACAAATAGCATAGTCCAAAAGCTTTTATTTCCTCAACCAAAACGATGCGATGGAATGCTGAAACACGAATAAACGAAGGAAGAAAAACTAAAAGATCAACAAATTTACGGCAATACTGAATAGTTTCTGAATTGTTGTAAATACTAAGAATGTAAGTCCTCCAAAAACGTTAAATATAGTTAAAATAATATACGTATAATGTTGTACAATTTACAACATGTCTTCACATCTCCCTAAAAAAACAAAAAGGAGGCGTCTATAGGCGAGTTACCAAGTCAATGTTTATTAATTTTTTCTACCTCTTTCCATTACTTTTAATGACTTTTTCTCTTTGTAATTTTATATCGTTTTTACGTTTTCGGAAGATTTATTTAAGCCGTGTTCGGCAGAAATAATCAAAATGGATTCACTAATTATTCGAACAATTGTCTGTTGCTTTGTTTGTCCCATATCTGTTTCTGTCCTTTACGTCCAATAGATTGCGCTAACTGAAACATGTTAAAAAGTTATTTCATTGTAAAATTTACGCTTCTAAGAAAATTATTTTATGGACATCGTCAATAAGAACCGACTCCAATTCAGCAGACTCCAAAGGCATTCATTCTCTATATATAAATACCAACAACGTGTTTAAACTGATGCTCATGCTACAGGTCAAGCACTGACTCATTAATTGCTTTACTCACTACATTGTTAGTAGTACGTAGTAGTGCGAGGATTTTACATCATTACGCATCTCTAGCATCCCAGATTCCATTTAAGTCTGTCACCGCAGTCTATTACAGTTAATCCTCTTCTAGTCATCGCCTTTTCCACTCATTTCTTCCAAATACTTCTAGATCTTCCTTGTCTTGTGTGAAGCTGGGTGCCAATTTCAGAGCTTTAGAGGTCATCGGTCTTCATCCATTGTTTAAAATACCAATACCATTTGAATATTTTAATTCCATGGTATCGATAATTTCAGACTGACTACTGTTTTCTTCTCATTTCATCGTCTTTTAATTTGTCTACCAAAGTCACTCCACAGCATCTTCGCCAATGGTCCATTTACATTGTTTCTACGTTTATTCATTACCTTTCGATACTCTTTTTATTACCTTGTATAACCTCTTAAGCCTCTTCCTCAGAGTTTGATCCCAAATTAAGGGATGGAATTGCCTTCCTCCTTTGATATTCTACTCTGAATATCTTGTATACTATCATTGGCTGCTATTTTAGTATCCAGATATGTAACATTCTGGCAGGGTTTCAATTCTGATCCGTCACATATACGCAAAGTATTGGCGTCTCCTCATACACCAGATATTCTGTTTTAATTATGTATTTCAATCTCCCAATTCACGTACTCTTCATGAAGTTTTCGCATCATATCTCATCTTCCTCCTCAGTGAAGATAACTCGATCGTCTGTATAAGTAAGAGAATAGAGCAGAAATCATCAATTTTCGTACCCGCTCGTAATTGCAACGTTTTCTCCACCAGTTCTTCAAACCTTCGTTTAAATATAATTTAAACAGTAGGAGCTATGCAACAACCTTGCCTTAAGTCTTTATTTACAGAAAATGTTTCGGAAAGGTTTGTTGCAATTTTAATTTGACTTCATTTCTACTCAACAGGTCTTTAACAGCTGTCTGTAAGTAGAATATATTAACATCACGTTTCTCCATCCCGAGTTTATTTAATGGACCAGTATCGTAGGCTTTTCTTAAATCTATAAATACGAGGTGAGTTTCTAAATTATCTGCAGCCGTTTGTCGGTCAATTGACTGATACTAAAAACATTATCAGTAAATGTGTCCAGCTCCAAATTTACATTTTTTACATTATTTTTTGACATACATAATTGTACTCACTAAATTTTCATTGCTGTGCGGTGCACTAATGAATCTGAAGACCATACTCAAGGGACAGAAAAGACAGAGTGATCGAAAAAGAAGAAAAGTTCCCACAGTTCTCAGAGTAGATTCCAAGTTTTCGATAAGGCAAATAAGAAAAGTAAAATCAAGCACACATTAAATTTCCACAGCAGAGTTGTAGGTCGAGATAACAACGTAGCAACTGCTGATGTAATGGTTTTAACAACGAAAATGCTTCTAAACTGTCTCTAGAAGCAAAATGGCCAGCGATTTTATTGCGATATGCACCGATTTTAAGAATTGACACAATAACTAGTATAACAAACGTAAGTACGATACGCTTTTGTTATTTTTCAGGTACCTCCAGTCCGGAGCTCTATGCATCCGAACGATCTCCCGAGTGTGATAGTACAGCGCATACATGAGACTGTGGTGTGTGTCAGTGTAAAAGGAGAGGGGAAGAGACACGGATGGGGAAGTGAAGATCGCGCGCGGTCCAAGGCTTTTTGTTACAGCACAACTCCAACTTTCGCAAAGTACTGATCGGAGGAACGACAGATTAGAGCAGTCGACCGTTAGAATTTGCCCTAAGCAACGGCTGAATTCGACCAATATATTCAGCTAGTGACAAAATCCGACGTCAGTACTCGAACCTAAGTTGCGTTAAGGTTGCACGTTTGCACAACACTCAAGTAAGTGTAAAATATTTTCATATGTTTTCCATTTAATGTTCCAGATATTGTAACAACAACGCCGACCTGAACTACCCGAGGTGGGTAGAGTGTGGACAGACTCAGCGCCTCTGGCGGAAGCGTCGTGGGTTCGAGTTCCGCCGTAGGCACCGTTGTGTCCCTTGTTTTTCATGTAACTATGTTGCCGCCTTGTGAGTCTGGTGACCACAGACCAGAAGCCCGAACGTGTGTCTAGTGTAACGGTTAATATGTATCCCCATGCGGGACGTAGAGAATACCTGGCGCGGATAATCGAAATCGACATCTCCTGAAGCTGAAAGAAGCCCCAGGACGAAACAACAAAAGCAGTAATAGCGATGTATGATAGCATTTTGTAATCAAAGACTGCACGTGGAGCGCTCTCTCCGACATGGAGTTGCAAAACGCGCAGCGCCCCAATTTCTGATGACCCGCTTACGGACAATTAATATTAAGAAGCACGAACTATCGAACAGGCGCGCAGCGTGTTCTCCTGCGTCAACACTGCGAGCCCTCCGCAATTCTTAGTGCGTTTGAGTGCCGTAACCATAACACAGGAAGCGTTCCAGGCTTACTTCGCTGACCGCTGGGAATCTCGCCGGCTGGCCGCCGAGACGCTTCGGGGATTACCAGTTTTCTGTCTTCGTCTGAATCCCATCCAACGAATGTCAGTTTTATGAATTTGCGCGTTATTGAAAGTATACCAGTGAAGTATTGATGGTGTTGAATGCGTTATTTAGGATGTTTGATGAACTTTTTTTGATTTCATAATAGGTTTTTGATTCAAAACGTGCATTTGATGAGTGCAGATTTTTTTTGTAAAAAGGTTGACCGCCTTGGAAGAAAGCCTCTGTGTACTGCCCTCTGGGCAGGCAGCTTGTTTTTCTGTGCAGGTATCCGTAGTCCTTTCTTGTCGAACGCATACGAGTGTGTGTTAGAGCGACAATTGTTTGTGATAAGTCGTGCTGTGTTATCGTTGTGGGTGTGGGTGACATTGCTGCTGCTGTATGTGAACTAGAACTGACAAATCTTGTTATCTCAAAAGACGTACTTAATACTTAACACATTGAAAAATTAATTATTTGATACATCTGTAAGACGTAAAGAGATGAATATGATCATAAGTTAAAGAGTATATATTCAAGAAAAATTACTTACAGTATGGGGGTACTAGGGTACGGAAATAGAATAACTTCATTTCATTACCGTCAGCAACAGTGGTTGCTAAGTCAACCAATTTTATGAAATTAATTAGTGTAACATGTATCCAAATAGCTCTTTTTGCAAAGCACTGGAGTGTGATCACCTTTTTTAAAATCCTAGTACGTGCTGAGTTTTGTCAGTATTCTATTACCTATAGTTGTCTCATGGCGGAAATATAGAAAAAAATGAATGTTTCCACGAAATCAAAGCAAGGAGCATGGGCACTGTAGGTAAGCACACTTGACATGGTCTCTATGGATAAAATTATGCAAGTAATGTTTCAATACATGCACTTTTATTGAAATTAGTTTTAATGGATTTATATGAGTTACGTTATATTATATACTAATATTCTGAACTATGGGAATTAAATTCCCGTCACTCGATGAAGCTGCAATCCCCCATGGCGGGGGGGGGGGGGCCTGGCGCATTATCCAATCCGTAGGATCTCCGACTAGAGTAGCTGCAGTAGCAACAGCCAACCTCAGCGCCGTTTAGGATATATTTCCTGCAACCGCAACCCGTATCAACGCATGAGAGCAGCGGGCGCGGCGCCGCCACTCTGAACGCGGGAAGCCTTAGGGCGGAGCGCCGCTGACAGGCCGGAGGTTGTGCGGGGGCCGGAGGCGGAGCGGCAGATGCAGCAGAGACCGGAGACCGAAAGCGCGTGCGCCGGCGCTGCTCCACTCGGCGGGGGCGTTGCGCTCTCCACGGCCACAAGGAACTTCACAACATTCAC